GCGGAGGAAGAGATTCAAAAGAGCCAAATGAGAAACCCTAGCAGAAATCCTCTGTGCTTCTGTGTGGAAAGTGCTAGACAGAGACTCCTTGCCTCTATCACATGCAGGCCAATCTGCAATTTCAAACAAGGACTAAACACATGGAGGGAACTCCAACCCCTAACAAGCTATCAATAAACTGCCCCCTTATCTATCTCAGAATAATTTTAAATGACCATCTTATAGAAATGGGTATCGCAGACGCAACTCTAAAAGCTCCAGCCTGGAGACACACTGGGCAACCACCCATGCGCTCCTAGTAGAATGTACACGTGCAGGCCTCTTACTCTGGAGACTAGGATTCATAGCCCCTATCTCAGTGATGTTTGAACAGGCCGAGCAGTGTTTGCTTCTGTCTGTTTCTTCTGAGACACACTCTAAGCAGTCCTCCAGGCAGTTACTCTGATAAGGGATCAGAAAAACACACAAACATCTGGGCTCCTTCATTCCTGCCGCCCTCAAAAGCAGGGCAGTACATTGCCTTCCTAAACTGGTTTCTGGTAGTTTCCCCTCAAACACTACAGAGCAGAAGCTGGGCCTCATTTCAACCAGTCCATCCTTTCTTTCCTCTAAGTGGTGAGCTGGAGTGGAATGCTAGCTACCCTTGACTTTCTGTGCAGGTAACTTCTGGCCCAGCTCCACACTGGGAATAAAAGGGGAACACAAATGTCAACAGAAGGACATGGCTGTAAGAGAAAAAAAAAAAAAAAAAAAAAAAACACCACCATCCACAGACAGACAGTGCAGGCTGCTCACAAACAAGAGACTGCGAAACACTCAGTTGGAAAAAAATGTACTTTTGTGTAGAATTTTGCTTTGTAAGTATCAGAAAATCTCCAAGCTCGCTGATAGTTACTCTATAATATGATGTCCTTAAATGCTTCCCACATTGATGTCACACATATCATTGACATTTAGCATCTACTTTTAGGGACGAAAAACAGGCTGGATGGGGTTAGGGAGATGGCTCAGAGGATAAGACTATGAATCTCCAACACATACATAGAAAGCTAAGCATGGCCACGAGGACACTTGTAACTGTCATGCTGCTATAGGGGCATGGAGACAGGAGGATCACTCGGGCTTGCTAACTGCTAGCATCCATATTGTCCAGCTTGTATCAGCCTGCAATTCTAGCTGCAGGGAATTTGATACTTTCTTCTGGTCTCTGAGGAATTTTGTACTCATGTACACATACATAATTTTTAAAAATCTTAAAAATTGTTACATTTATTTATTCATGTGTGTCCACGTGCATGTATGCCTGCTGCAGTGACAATGTGGGGGATCAGAGGACAGTTTGAAGGAGTTGGTTCTCTCCTTCAGTTGTGTGGGGCTGGGGGATTGTGAGAACCTTTATCTGTTAGGCCATCTTGACATCACAGGACTACATTCAGGGCACTAAAACAAAAGCACCTGAGAACTAGGCTATAGCAAATCAATGTTTTGGTTTTGGTTTTTTTGGAGTCCAAGAGGGTAACTGAGGATCTTTCCTGCTTCATAGCAGAACGACATCTTGGAGACACTAGACACAGCATGCTAGAACAGCAGAGACCATCAATTTCACTTTCTCTTGCTGCCCGTCTTGAAATGGGTCTCCAGGGGTGCTGGGCCCCATGTTGTACAGCCACCTGCAACATCAAATGCAAAATGCAGGTCTCTGGACTCCTCATTCACTTTTTACTGCCTTTCCCTTCATGTACAAGGCACGATGCCTCTCCACCTTCTGAGACCCAGGAGTGACACCTTCATGGGTAAAGGCCAACTGTTAGGAAGGGAGACTTTGCCCAGATGGGAGAAGATGTTAATGAGACATGCGGGGGGGGGGTGTAAATGCAATGAGTAAAGAGTCTGAGGCAGAGTCTGCAAGTGCTGTCAAGGCTGGGCTGCTTTGTCGCTGCTGCTGCAATCATTACTGTCACCGTATAACACCCATGTCAGTGTGCAAATACACATTCCCTAACAATAACCTGCATTCCCCACTAGTAATGCCCCTCTGTGGCATGCTAGGACTAGTGGAAAATAGAAGCCAAGGGTTAGAAGGGTGGAAAAAGATTAGGAGAGGTGGCTGATACTGAATTTACTAGTGGAGAGCTCCCCTCTCATCTCAAGTGAACTTTTGAAAAGAAAGTTCTCCGCATGCTTAAGGAGGTCTCTGGAATTTCATATTTTCTTATTCTCAACTCTGTCTGTTTAAAGAGGGCTTTTCAAGTGCCTTTAAAGTCGGTCATGTGGCATCTCCAAACTTAGACTTCAGGACCTTCGAGAACCTCACAGAATGCCTGAAGTCTGCCACGAGCTCTTCAGAGCAATGGTGTGAAAGGAAGGTCCACCGTATTAGGCACAAAGCTGGCCTTATCACAGTAACTGTTCTCATTTCAAATGAAGCTAGGCCTGAAAGTGACTTTCTAGAAGACACATGCTTCCCATGAAAACAGCACCTTAAAAAGCATCACTATGCCAGGAGGTGGTGGCACACACCTTTAATCCCAGAACTCAGGAGGCAGAGGCAGGAGAATCTCTGTGAGTTCAAGGCCAGCCTGGTCTACAGAGTGAGTTCCAGGACAGGTTCCAAAGCTACATAGAGAAACACAGTCTCAAAGACCACCTCCCCCTCAAAAATATCACTATGCCAAAAAGCTACATGAGGAGCAGATGGGGTTTGCAGTGAAACATCATAACACTTAAAGCCAAGAGGACCCCAAATTATTCCATAATAGTGACAGAAACTTTTGTGGTGAGTTTTTTTGTAAAAAAAAGTACATACACAATTTTCCTCCTTGTGTGAACTCTAAACCAAGCTAGTTGTCCATAGATAATGAACAAGAACCATACAGCAACCCACAGATTTATAAAATGCCACTTTCTTTGGTGGTGGTGGGGTAGTGACCTGCCTGGAGTCATCAATATACTTGACCTTAATAGTGTGACTAAGAATAGAAACCCTGACCACAGAACAAGTCACATACTTCTAGAACTGACAGGCACACACCCACAAGTGAAAACACACAAAAACAGCAGCATCTTGAGCTATAATGAGGCACCAAGAAAATTTGAATTTAAAGATGTAAATTTTTATAAGTGTGTGTGTGTGTGTGTGTATGTATGTATGTATGTATGTATGTATGTATGTATGTATGTGTGTGTTCCATATATGCCCATGGAGGCCAGTAGAGGGCACTGGATCTCCTAGAGCCGGGAGTCAAGCATGGTTGTGAGTTGCTCTATGGGTACTGGGAACCGACCTCTGGTCCTCTGGAAGAGCGGTTCGTGCTCTTAACCTCCATGGGCACAGGCTCAGACCCACAAGTGAAAAGACACGAAAACAACAGCACCTTCCCTGAGCTACAAAGAGCTAGGAAGTTTTGAATTGAACTAGTTCATTTTGACAATACTATTAAACCACAAGGAAAGAGGAATAAGTATCTTAATATAAATGTTAAAATGTAATGAGATATTTTTAGAATGACTTGACATCCATACCCTTTCTCTCTGTGCTGTATCTGTCCTACCTTTATGAAATCTTTTAGGCAACCATAAAGAGTTAAGTGGTTACAGACTGAAAAGTATTGTGATAGAGTCATGAAGAAATTCAGCGGCCCCTGAGATGGCACAGAGGGAAAAGGCAATGGTGACCAAGCCTGGTGACTCAGGTTCTCTGAAACCCACACAGAATGAGAACCTGCTTCGTAGTTGTCCTCTGACCTCCACATGCAACCTCTTCTCCAACACACAGAATCAAGGAACACAATTTAAAGAAAGACTTAAGAGGTTCAAAACATGCAATAAATATGTTCCAAATGTGCAGCCACATGCAAGCCACGCTCACAAATTCCAGCTGAAGTTGGCTCTTTATATTCTAAAATGTAAAGCTACCATTACTTCTTTCCTCAGAGGTGTTCACTGGCCACCCAAGACTTTCCTGTGGTTGTATCCTTCCTGCCAACACTCTAAATTTTGTGGTGTGTGTGTGTGTGTGTGTGTGTGTGTGTGTGTGTGTGTGTGTGTGTGTGTGAGATGTGACACCATCAAATGGCAAAGCTAGGTAAACCCATTTTAAGTTTCACAGCAAATGCACACTCCTAAATTTTGTTCTTTCCCTCTCCTTCACCCTCTGTCTCTCTGTCTGTCTGTCTGTGTGTCTCTCTCTTTCTGTGTCTGTGTGACACCATCAAATGGCAGCGCTACATAAACCCACTTTAAGTTTCACAGCAAATGCAGTCTCCTAAATTTTGCGCTCTCTCTGTCTCTCTATATGTGTTGTGAGAGAAAGTGACACCATCAAATGGCAGAGCTAGGCAAACCTACTTTAAGTGTCATAGCAAATGGGCTCCTAGAAGCTCGGAATGGACCACTTTATCAACCACTAGACCCTAAAACTTGTCAAGAACCTTCAGATGACATGAAGCACACTTTACTAAGCTCAACATCACAGACCATCACCCCGATAAAAGCCTATTATTATTATCATTATCACCATCATCATCATCATCATCCAGCCAATTCTGAATCAGAGAAGAACCCTAAATAGCTGTTCTTCCCTGTAGGCTTGAGATTTTCAGGGTCAGAAAAACAAACAAGCCAACAAAAAAACAAAAACCCAACATTCTGGTTAAGCAAAAGAAACCTGGGATAAATAATAATATTAGTTATGCAGAGAAATCCAGGCCTTAATCCTCAGCCCAGAACAGCTTTGAACATTCCTCTATACGTTTGAGACCATCGTCTCTGCCAGTAGCAAGGGCAGAGAGGCCCTGTATTGCATTTTCATTCCACAAGCTGACCACTAGCAGTGTTCCACAGAAGCCAGGGAAAGGCAAATTCCTGGTTAATACACACAGAACCTCTACTGAAAACAAGGACTCCACTGGGTGATCACCTAGGGCTCGCACTAACAGCCCCTCACACCAGGTTCACTGATCTTTCCAAGGCAAAGGCTCTTCAGCCAGTTGTTCACTTACAGCATTCACTGTGCTCTGCTCCCAGGAAGCCTCCCTGAGACTTCACCATGGAAACATGGAAACTTCCCTCAGCAGCTGGGCCACAGGCTCTGGTGTTGTCTTTCTTCCTTTCACAGGGGAGGTGAGAAATACCTGGTATAGGAACAGCCCAGAAGGAAAAAAAAATGGTAAATACATTTATCATCTAATCAGTTCTTCCAACAACCTGGTCATCTGGTCAACCAAAGTGATAATTCACCAAAGACCATTTTCCAGGACCTGCCTGTTTTGCTTTGTTTTTAATTTGCTAATTTTGATTTTGTTCTTGATCCAGGATTGTGGCCTAACCAATCTTTTATGTTGTTTCCCCTCCCCCACGAAGCTGATGACAATTCTGGGAAACTTCAACCCAATGGTAGGTGAGATACAAAGTTGCTCAAAGGAAGCCACTATTTGCTGGAGCCTGTGGTGGGTGTCTGTGATCAGAGCACTGGGGAGGTAGATACAGGAGGACTAAGTCAGCCTGGGTCACAGGAGGCCCTGTCTCAAAAAAAACAAAACAAAACAAAACAAAAAACACAACTGAACCAGCAAAGACAAGGAGGGAGGAGTCAGAGTGAGAAAACATTGTTAGGGGTATGGCTCAGAGGCACAGCTTGCTTAGCACCCCTGAGTTCCTGGGTTTAATTCCAGCACCAGAAAAACACTCATGATCCCAAAGTAAGTCACCTGACTTCACTTCTGTAAAGGAAAGCAAGGATTCTGTTTTCCTACCTCCCTGTGTGGCTGGGAAGATCAGTGAGTGCTTTAGAGAGTCACTTGCAGTTCCCCAGAAGGCAGGCACTATGTCAAAGGAGATGTTATTATTGGTCACAGCCTGCTACTGAGCTCAGAGCCAGAGTATAAAAGCTAGCTTTGGCTGAGGACCAACCATCAGCTCTCCCTGGGGCACTCAAATGTCTGCAGGACCTCATGGTGCTGTGGTATGGGAGGAAAGAGGGGCAGAGTTAGAGAGCCTTGGGATTGCCAGGAGAAATTTAAAAAACAAAACAAAAGAAAAAAAAAAAAACCCAGAAGGTGTGGGGCTAAAGTTGCAGAGTGCATGGCAGACTCTAGAGCCAGGCAGGACTGTGGCTCTTTATTTGAGCCACAGCAAAGGGCCCCCTTCAATTCCACATTTGTGAAGTTTCTTGTGCCCAATGTCTGCAGGGCTGTGAAATTTTCCACTTGCCTCTCTGCCACTTCTCCCCAGCGACTGTAACACTCATATGCAAAGGTGGCAAAAGGAGAGAAAAGGACTAGCTCCAGCGGGCTAATGCAAAGGCCTGCATTAAAGCCGATAGAAAAATCTCTACACTTGGGTTTCTTGTTTCCCCATCTTCAGGCAGACCCAGGAACAATGGCTTCCAGGCCACTGTTATCAACCTATCTTAACTTCTGCAGCATCGAGGAGCAACAGCAGAGGGATAAGAATGAATGTCCACCCCGGGGCTTTGGGGGCTGACTGCCAGCTAGTCAGGTGTTTCCTCTCCAAGTCATGAGCATCAGCTGAACTGCTCAACACAGGTGGGAGCTGGAGTCTTAGTACTTACTGTGAAAGTAGGAGAATGATTTCTAAGAGGGGGAAAAAAAAAAGTGGCCCTCTCAAACAGTAAGAGTAGTGATGGTACTGATACAGACAGAGTGAAATAATATCAAATCTTAGATTTGGAATTGATAACACTGATCAGCAGAACTCAAGATGAATTTTTAAAAAGGGAGAGACAAAATTAGCTCAGAAAGGAGGAAGGAGGTGTCTGCTCTTCTGTGATTAATTGTGGCTCCTATAGAGGATCCAACTTACCAAGCGCTTTCTTAGTAATTAGTGCATTCAGAGGGTAGAATTTCACTTAAGGTCAGGACACCCAACCAGGGCCAGAACAGTAAACAAGAGAGGCAAGGGGCCTGCCCTCCTCTCACCAAGAGGGGTGGAACCTTAGAGAATTGTACTAATGTGTATTTTAAAACATGTGGTAAGATACGAAACCCAGATAAAAATCACAAAGGGACATTAGACACTGTGATTGAGAGTGTGGGGCCCAGGAAGCCTGGGGAGAAGCCAAAGGTGGAATTTAGCACAGGCAAGGCTGGAGGTGCAGCTCAGTGACAGAGCCCTGGCCTGGAAACAGGTTGAGCATCAGTGGGGCCTGATCTAGGGCTGTGCAACTAATTTCCTTCCTCTGTTCAGAGGGAGTCCTTTGGGTCTCCTTGTTGAAGACATAAGTAACAACGGTCTCCAGTGACTTCAAAGGAGTCATTCTTCTCTCTGACTACTATACCACCTGAGTTGACAAGCACCAGACATTTCTGCCAGGGAGATCCATTCCATGTCACTATTGTTTGTGACGTGACAGCAAAGAAGATAGGTCCTTGTTCCCTAAAGTACCAAAGGTCACCCCATCATAGAGGGAACTGGAGAGCTGTCTTGTCACATGCAGGTCCCAGGTGAAGCAAATCCACTCTAAAGGGGCTATGCCTGCACAAAGGTGCATGTGTGCAATCCCAGAACTTGGGAGGATGATCGTAGGAGGATCATGAGTTCCAGGCCAGCCTGGGCTACATGGTAAGTGTTAGAATTGTAGGTGAGTCTGGGCCCATAAAGTGAGACCCAGTCTCGGAAACAAAATCAATCCAAACCAGACAACAAAAATGAAAACCACATAAAAGAGCCCAACCCAGTTGTTACATGCAAATTTCTGGGGCAAGGGATGACAAAAATCATTTTGCTTTAGGTTTCAAATTTCTGACTTCTCCTTGACTACACACACACTATACACATAAACATATATATACTCACATATGTGTGTGTGTTTATAAGCTGTTAAAAAATATCTCTTGTACTTAAACAGCATTTATGGCCCACTCCAACAGTGCCTACCACTTCTCTTCTGATTTGTAAATCAGGACTCTATTTACCTTTCTCAGGAAGGAGTGGAGCACGCATAGAAAGAAGCAAGCATTAGGAAAGCTGTGTTCGTCTCTGCTTTTTCATGTTCCTGCCATTCAATTTAATTCTCCCATTAAAAAAATTCATCAGTATTTTGCATTGCTCAAACTGATGATATCCCCAGGCAGGCTCACTCATGTTCTCTGTATCAATGGAATCGGTCTGCAATCCTATCTGAAACAAATTTGGCCAGCTGAACCCTGAGCCTCTTGCCATTTAAAACAGCCAGGACAAAATGTTAGCTAGTTAGCTCCTCAGAAAAGCACAAATACAATAATAGTCCACCTGCAGGTCGCAGAATATACTTCACCCTGATAGTTATGACAAACCTTAGCTAAGCCAGCAAGGAGAGAGAGAGAATGCAACAGACAAGACTCTTTGCTGCCTACTTGCCCAGCATCTCGCCGTTAGACTCTGGGACGTACACCAGGCTGACTGACAATCTCATCCTCCAGCCATAGGACAAAGGGGCACCATGCCAGCCCCTCCCTCCCCCTTGAATACACAAAGCACTTACAGTCTCTACTGCACACTTTGACCAAGGTCATTTTCAAGTCAGCACTTTGCTATAGTGTCTTTTTTATCCTCCGTCGGATTTATTGAAGGCTCAGAGACTTCATAAGTTTCTTGATGAGGAAGACCTTGCCATGGCCTTCTTATGCAAGCTCCTAATAGCATCTAGTGGGAAGAGCTAGCATGGAGAAGAAATGACCCAGGCCTGATGGAGAAGAACTTAACCCTCACTGTAAAGGACTTACCTCTCTGTAGCTATAATTTAATCCTTTCTCTGCTGAGAGCTCTCCCCCACTCTCCCTTTCTCTAAGTGTAGGTAAACTTTAACATGTGCACGCTTGTAGAGGCCAGAGGACAACTTTTGGGGCGTCTTTCTTGTTTGTTTTGTTTTTACAGGGTCTTTCACTGGCCTGGAACTCACCAAGTAGGCTAGACTGCATGGCCATCGGGCCCTAGAGATATACCTGTCTCAGACTCCCCAATGTTTGGGACCACAAGCTCGGCTTATTTATTTATTTATTTATTTATTTATTTATTTATCTTTAAAACAGGCTCTCATTGTGTTGCCCTGGCCGATCTTAAATTCACAGAAATTTCACCTGCATCTCCCTCCTTAGTGCTGGGATTAAAAATGGACACCCGCACGCCTGCCATACTTAGCCCTTTTTATGGTTAACTCTGGAGATTGAATGTGGGTCCTTGCCCTTATTTTACTGAATGAGCCATCACCCCAGCCCCAAGCCCTTTCACCTTCTCGGCCATGCAAGGGCTTGGCGCTCCGAGGCTCCCCATCTCATTGAAAGTCTTCCACAGGACTGAGAACAGTTGCACTCCGCCTTCTCTTTCCTGTCCTTTGAGTCCATCCCTTTTTACTCCTCAGTGGCCTCTGAACAGCTGCTAGTTCCCTCTCAGCTCTTTACACACTGGCTCCACCTTCTTGCCAGCAGGAGCCTGTATCCTTGATTCTCGCAGAATTCCCAAAGCTCCAGCTGCTGCAACCCACATCCCATGTGGAGAAGATGTGGAGATCCCTGAGGGGATGGGGCTCAACCTGGAACCCACACCACACAGCTGGAAGCCATCCCGAGAACTGCTGATTGGGAAAGTTTGGGTGGGAACAGGAGAACCTGTGATCCTCATGAATCCCCAGGTGAGACTGATGCTGCTATTCTGGGGGTAGGGGTCACAGTCTGAGAACTGCCCCTCTGAAGGTTTTCCTTTCACTGACACAACCAGATGGAAGTGAATGAATCCTACTCTAAGATGGCTAGCTTGGGAGGAATGGTAACAACATAATCCAAACAGATGCCAACAATCAAGACAAACAAAACAAACCCAATACATTGTTACCATATACATAAAATCTGGGGAAACCTTTCTTGACCTTCCTCCACTTGAGTCTTTCTCCATCCTCCTGATAGCTCCAGGTCTCACTCTGCCCTTCATCCCCTTTCCTTTCCTTTTGGACTATAAACACTTTCCCCCAGCCTATAAGCACACTGTCATTTATATTTCCTGGAAGACATCCACAGTGTCCTGGAAGCTTTCCAAAAGGTTTGCACCTTTATCTGATTTACCAGGGAACAGGAGAAAATGCAGTGCAAATCTCCTGCCACCATTTCAACACAAATATCTTAAAGCCTGGGAGTTTGAT